TACTCCATGTGTGTTTCCTCTCTTGGTTCTGTGGCCTTCAAACTGTCCCAGGCAAAAAGCTGGGGCACTCAGTGGCTCATTTTGTTTCCTTTCCTTCTCTCAGGGATCATTGCCAAGTACTGCCTGGATTCCAATATGAAAACACTTTTTAAAAGATTTCTTCCAGTTTATAATTGTGTATGTCAAGAGAATAGTTTGTATAGCAGTGAATCCCTTGTGGGTGCCACTTTTCAATTTACTAATGCATGTGTAAGCCTCCCATCCGACATGGCATGTTTATTACTCATCCTTCAACCCATACTGTATTCTCCATGGAAAGCAATTTGGATGGCACCGGTTACACAGATGGCTCCTGGCACATGCAGACAACTTGTTTTGAAAGTTCTTAACAGTTCAGAATTGCTTAAACTTGCTTTGTGTAGTGTGTTTCACACCTGCAAAGTACTACTTATTCTTATTCTTGCTTTCCTTTTTTTTTAAGAGACAGGGTCTGGCTGTATCGCCCAGACAGGAGTGCAGTGGTCTGATAGCTCACTGCAGCCTTGAACTCCTGGGCTCAAGCGATCCTCCAGCCTCAGTCTCTGAGTAGCTGGGACTATAGGCACATGTCACCACACCCAGCTAATTTAAAAATTTTTTGTAGAGATGGGGTCTTGCTGTGTTGCTTAGGCTGGTCTCAAACTCCTGGCACCAAGGGATCCTCCCACCTCAGCCAAAGTGTTGGGAGTAGAGGTGTGAGGCACCGCAACCATGCTTATTATTGCATTTAACAGTGTCATTCTGTGTGATGACTTAGAGACTTTGTGTTTAAAACACTGAAACAATCTGAAAGTAGTGTAAGGTTTTTTTCTCTTTTAAAAATATGTTAATGAGGCTGGGCGTAGTGGGGCCTGTAATCCTAGCACTCTGGGAGGCAGAGGTGGGCGGATTGCTCGAGGTCAGGAGTTTGAAACCAGCCTGAGCAAGAGCGAGACCCCGTCTCTACTAAAAATAGAAAGAAATTAATTGGCCAACTAATATATATAGAAAAACTTAGCCGGGCATGGTGGCACATGCCTGTAGTCCCAGCTACTTGGGAGGCTGAGGCAGGAGGATCACTTGAGCCCAGGAGTGTGAGGTTGCTGTGAGCTAGGCTGACGCCACGGCACTCACTCTAGCCTGGGCAACAAAGCGAGACTCTGTCTCTAAAAAAAAAAAAAAATATGTTAATGATTCAGACGTGGTCGCACACGCCTGTAGTCCCAGCTACTTGGGAGGCTGAGGTGGGAAGATCATTTGAGGCCAGGAGTTCAAAACCAGCCTGGGCAACTTAGTGAGATCCCCTCTGTAAAAATTATACACACACACACACACACACAAACGGAATGAAAAAGCATTAATCCTTTCTTCTTCCTTTCTGGTACCGTATTTCTTTTTAGTTTTTATGGCATGAGTATGTAACAAAGTTCACTAACGCTCCACTGTTCTTCTTTCCTTTCCAGACATTGTTATTTCATAATTATCACAGATTGAGTGTCCCCAATCCAAAAATCTGAAATGCTCCAAAATCCAAAATTTAAGTGCCAACATAGCACTCACCTGGTAAGTCTAATGCAAATATTCCCAAATCCAAACAAATTCAAACTCTGAAACACTTTTGGTCCCAAGCATTTGGGATAAGGGATGCTCAGTCTGTACTGCCATGTAGAAGGGAATATTCAAATGTGACCTCCTGAGTTAATGCTTGAGAGTCCCCAGGGCTGCCCACCCCACCTCACAAGGGGAGTGATCTCAACAGAAACTGAGGGGCTCCACGGGGTGCCCTCCCAGGCTGGGGCTCCAGTGGAGTTACAGGCGCTGGAGCTGGGTGTCCACAGGCACCTGGGCCTCATGCCCCACCTGTGAGTGGGGTGGCTGGGTACAGTAACAAGTGACCAGGCTCACCCGGATGCGAAAGGTGTTGTCTTCAGGAGCCCCTCCCCAATCCACCACTGTTTCCTCTTTGTTCCTGAGGACCAAGAACTGCACAGTGGCGCCCCACTGAGGAAAGACTGAAGAAACTTTTGGGTTGTGTCTTGAAAACTGGGTGGTTTCCAGGGAAACATGGAAGATTTCCTGTACGAGGAACAGTAAAGGCTGGGAGGCTGTGGGGCCAAAGTGTGAAGGCCACAGGGCGGAGCAGGGCTGTGGAGGACCCAAGGTAACCCTGCGGAGCAGGTGTCTGAGGTGTCTCTGGGCTCTGGGCCCAAGCATGGAGCACAGTGCCAGGGTACCCGGAGTTCCCTACCACCACTTGTGGCCCTGACAGACCCAGCTGGGAGAGCCTGCAGCTCTTGTCAGGGCCAGCTCGGTTTGCCTGGACAGGTGAGGAAGTTGAGGCCCACAGGTTGGCCCCAGCACAGCTTTGAGACCACCCACAGGGAGGACAGGCCCAGCTCCCACCGCAGCTGGAGTCTCAGGCCACTGCATCGGGTCTCTGCCCCTCTTGAGGGCAATGCTCCCACAGTGGTCATGGGCCAGCCTGTCTCTCTCTTTGCTGTCATCCTACAAACAAAGGGATGTGCTGTTCTTCCTCCTACCTGGAAAAAACAAAACAAGGAAAACTCCTAATCCTGAACCTCCTCTGACTGCTGATCCATTTCCTGTTCTCTGGTGCAGTCTCCAGAGTGGCCAGGACCTGCTGCTCCACCTTCCTAGATGGCAGCAGCCCCACCTCGCCAGCCACTCTGTCCCAGGCCTCCTCCAGCCCGACAGCCCAGGTCCAGGGTCGGATCCCTGTGCTGTCCACTCACTCCCTCGTGGCCCTAACACAGGCTTGCCCATGCAAGGCCTGTCTGTGAACTGTAACCCAAGTCCCAGCCATCTCAGCCGGGTGTCTGATGGGCAACCCAGACTCAATCTCTCCACTTCCAGGCTGCACAGAGCCATCCTTCCCCTCTCTCCTCCCACCTGCATCCCATCCTTCAGGAAACCCTGTGGCTTCACTGTCAGAATATTCCCAGAAGCTGGGCCTGCCCAGCCTCTCCCCAGCTAAAAGGCCAGCCGGCCTCCCCTCTTCACCTCACTCAGGCGAAGACATCCTTACCGAGTGCACGGAGGCAGGTTAACTATGAGGCTGGGAGCAGCGCGGAGCTACGGAGTGTTCTGAGGTGAGTGGGAGCTATAGGGCGACCAGGAGGCAGCTCCATGTGGCTTTCTGCAAATTGCCTAAAGAGATCTCAGAAGAAAGGGACCACACTGGGATTCCTTTTTTCATTTTAAATACTATTCATTTTGTTTCTTTTCTTTTTTTTTTTTTTTTTGAGACAGAGTCTCATTTTGTTGCCCAGGCTAGAGTGAGTGCCGTGGCGTCAGCCTAGCTCACAGCAACCTCACAACTCCTGGGCTCAAGCCATCGCCTGCCTCAGCCTCCCAGAGCTAGGATTACAGGCATGAGCCAGGCGCCTGGCTTCATTTTGTTTCTTATACTCAATTTAATATCCATAACTTATCGTTCTTTTTACATCTGCACAAATGTCATCACCTGGCTCATAATATTTTTAGTAGAGATGAGGTCTCCCTATGTTGCCAGGCTGGTCTCAAACTCCTGGCTTCAAGCCTCCATAGTGCTGGGATTACAGGTGAGCCAAGGCCCCAGCTGAGCAACTTTTTTTTCCCCCTAGGTCT